TTTAATAATAATTAAACAATTAAGTAATTTAAATAAAAAAATATTTTTACTCAACTAAATTTAAAATTATTATAAGTAATAAATTAATGAAATCAATAACAAATTATTTTCATTTAACTACTTTTAAATAATTTAAATTAAAAATATATATTCATTTAACTACTTTTAAAAATATTATAAATAACAAACAAATTAAATAAATAAAAATTATAATCAAACAATTAAATTATTTGAAAACAAAATATATAATCATTTATTTAAATTAAAAAAAATTATAAATAACAATTTTATATTACCTTCATTATTTCCCAGCCTTGCTGCTTCTTGTCTGAGGTGATCTTCTTCCAGTCCTGCACGTAGATGGGGAACAGCGTCCACTGCTGACCAAGGAGGCGCACGTACTTGTTGTACAACTGGCCACCTTTCTTCGTCGGTTGGCCCAACTCATTGAGCGGCACAACCACTCGTCCGCCCGTCATCATAGACAGCTCTCTGGCTGTCAGCCTCCGATAGGACCTGTTCCCCTCAGTGTCTACAAAATTTAATTAAGAAATAAATTATATATCAATAAATTAATATAATTTCTATATAAATTAAATACTGATCAAAACTTTAAAAAGTTAAAATAAATACTTACCGACAAATTCCACCTCATAACCAGCCTGACGTCTCGGAGCAGGACGCTATGCAGCCTGGGGATACTCATTCCCCTGATCCTGCTCCTCCTCCTCCTCCTCCTCCTCGTCAGCAGCATCAGCATGGGGTTGCTCATCCCCAGTAAAATGAGCCTCCTCAGTCCGCTCAATACCATCCTGCTCCATAAAACTGAGGATATCCTCCTCGCTCAGATCGTAGTCATGAATGCTGGGAAATGGCTCATCAGCATCATGATGAACCTCACTGGGTCCAGCTCTCTCAGGATCAACTGGGTCTTTCCCATGTCGACGAGGCATCCTAATAACAACAATAGTAATTATTTATAAATGAAATAAAAAAAATTAATTTATAAGCTATAACATAATAAAATTAATAAAATAAAACATAAAATAAAAATTATTTATCAATAAATTACTATTTTTACCTGAAAATAAGGATCTGCAACTGAATCAGAACTCAATATGTTTGTGAAGAAAATTCAGCAGAGCTTCGCTTCCAGAACGATTGAAGAAGTGAGAGTGTGGGGGGGTTATATATAGACCGAGACTTTCTAGCGGAATTTCTAGCGGTTTTGTGCCTAACCGCTAGAAATTCCCAACGGTCATATGACCGTTGGGAATTTCTAGCGGTTCTAGGCCTGAACCGCTAGAGATTTCTAAAAACTCCTCGGGGAATGAAAAAAATTTCTAGCGCTTCATGCATCAACCGCTAGAATTTTCGGTGTCTAGCGGTTTATTAGCCTGAACCGCTAGAAAGTAAACGCTACAAATTTGGCGCCAAGTTCCCGCCAAAGCCCGGGGAGTGTTCTAGCTCTAATTTTCTAGCGGTTAGGGGGTAACCGCTAGAAATGTGCGTTTAATGGTCAAACCGTCTGTATTTTGCAGCGGTTTTTGTAGGAACCCGCTAGAAATATCTGAAATTTCTAGCGGTTTTGTTTAACCGCTAGAAAGGTTCCGCTGCTACTTCTACAATTTCTTGTAGTGTATAAGCGTAAAAACAAGAAGGGCTGCATCGATGGGTTTGAGTTTGAAGTTGAAAAAGATATTGGCTACACATAAGGATCTTTTCCTTCCATCAACAACATAAGCATTCATCCTAATGTTAAAAATGAATTGCACACAAGAATAATAAAGCTTACAAAAAAGAATCAACAGATTAAAACAACAAAAGGAAGAGATTCTACAACAGTATGACAAGATCATGTCTATAATGTAATGAATAGGAATTAGATTATCTAAGCTCTCCAGCAGTAAAAATGCAGAAAATTACAATTGAGAGATATTATATTAAAGAGTTTAGTTATATATTAATTGGCTTTACTATAAGACTTCTAACAATTCAAGTATTTCTAATTGAGAACCTATGTACATACTACATCTCTAGTCCTATTTAGAAGGCAGTTTCAGCATATTTTATACAAACCAAGAAAAATATTAAATTATATTAACTCTTCATTAAAATATAAGAACTTTTTAATTTTACCCATATTTAATATATATACTTTTCCAAAAAAAAATAACTATCTACATTATATAAATAAATGATAAGATAGTACATCTATACTAAAAACTTAATGAAGTAACTTATAAATAGGATTAAAAAAAAAATTTCTCTCTGTCCTATAAATAGAACCAGAGGAATATCTTTTAATTGCAGTACGTGTGGTCTTCAATAATTGAATTGTCATTATTATGCTTTTAATTGTTTTCTCTCTCTAAAAACTAAACAAATAGATAAAATAATATATAAGAAAAACTAAAAAATACAAACAAACAAAAATTTGTAGTGTTTATAGATGTTGATGGTAAAAAAAAAATATTATAATAATTCTGAACTTTTAAAATAATTATGATTTCACTTGAATATAAATCTTCGAAAACCTAGTTGTTGCACGTAATTTTGCCTCTTATTTAATTTTGTTTTTCCAAGATGTGTTTATTGGGGTATCCGTTGGCTGGCTTGTCCGAGAGAATGATCGATTTAATTAACCAGGTCATAACGATGACTTCAAGCGCCGTGAATAAATAACGTAGCATGATCAAATGAATCGTTTACCCCATGAAAAATTTATCAAATGACTTTTTTTTTTTTGCCATCGAATTATCAATGATTTATTGTTTGTTCAATAAAAGATGATTTGCTAATACTCACTCCTCCGATCTTTAATATAAGACCTATTTAACTAATTTGATTAAATTAAGGAAGTTAGGTAAGTTAGTTAATTATAGAAATGTGACACATTTTTCCTAAAATACCATAATCATCTTTCTTAATACCCCCATCTTCTTCTTCTACTTGATTATGGTTGAGGGAGTATTCATATGGGTAATTTAGAAAAAAATGATAAATATAACAAATGGGTCTTATATTTAGAACAAAAACCAACTCAACAATTAGGTCCTATATTAAGGATCGGAGAGTATTATTTTTTTAATGTCTCGCAAGTTCATTTAAGAAACGCTGTCTGAACAAGTTTGATATTTTTAAATTTGAGTGTCGGCCAAAACAAATATTAAAAAAAAAAAATTGGTTAGCTCTTCCCGTCTTCCCATACAAAGTGGTCCATCTTGGTTATTAGTTTTGTAAGCTAAAATGGATTGTTGTAAAATTTTTTTTCAAAGAAATGATACGTTATCGTTACAATATTATAATCAAGATTTAAGAGGTGTTTTTTTTTAAAAGAATGATAAGTTACCATTTGGGCCCCAATATATCACAATAATCAAAGCAACTACCAAACACTCTCAGCCAATGAGAAAAATATCAAGTCATCTAATAGAATAGTACTACCGTCACCCAAAAAAAAAAGAAATAGTACTACTATTTCATTACAGGTGTCCCCCGTTATCACTACGATATTAAATTAAGAAGAATGCTCACAACTACCAAAAAAAAAAAAGAATGCTGATATTAAATTTTTTTTATTCATTATATTAACTTTTTCAATACACATGTCTTATTTTTAAAATATTATTATTCAAGTACAAATTTATATTAAAAAAATGAGACACATAACGATGTGTAACTCAATATAGGAATTTGATCTAAATATTTTTTAAATTAAAATATTTTCAAGTAATACTAACTAAATAGCCCATCAATTTTTGTGCTAATTAAATTGGCATAATATATTTCGTCTAGGCTTAATATAAAAACTTAATTAAATACTTTATAGGAATTAAGAAAATTATTTATGTTTTTTTATTATTATTGTATAAACATTCTCTGTTACTTTTTCTAAAGTGCCCCTCTTTTATTGAGGGTGTTAAATGTAAAGAGAAAGTGAGGGAGATAAATTATAAAGTTAGTAAGGAAATTTCAACAAACCCTAATTAATATCAGTCAATCTCTTAAAAAATTCTCAAATTTCACTATACTTTAAGAACAAAAATTTTATGGGTAAAAAGACAAAAACACCCTTATTTTATTTTGAGATTAGGATTATTTTATTTTTTCTTGCAAATGATGGAATTTGAGTTGTCTATTCATACCAAAATAATTATATTTTGGGTTTGTGAATTTCCTTATATTTCTTACAAATTGTCAATTCTTTTTGTGAATTGTCAAATTTGAGTTATTCACACCAAAAATTGCATTTGGTGCCGTAAATTCTCTTAAATCGACAAATTTGAATTGCAAATTGCCAAGTTTGTGTTCATTCACCTGGAAAATTTAGAAGGATTGACAACTCACATTCAGCAATTAACAACCAAGTTTGGCATTTTTTTCAAAGTACGGTATTTTTCTATTGGAGACAATCTTGTTACACGAATTGTTGAGCACTAAATGTAAGTATATCTTCTGGTAAGAATTCGAACATTGATTCATCATATTATGATAAGCTAACCCTTTTTACTAAACAACCCCATTGTTCAAATTCGACAATTTGCAACCTAAAATCGGCAATTCGCGAGAATATTTTTTGAAAAACAAAGCAAGAGTATTTTTGTCTTTTCACCCAAATTTGGTCCTCAAGGTACAATGAAATTTTAAAATTTTATGGGAGTTAAGTAACGTTAATAATAATCTATAGTGAGAATTAAATGAAATTTGAGAACTATATGTAATTGAAAAACTTTACATAATGAATGTAAAAGACTTGAGACAAATAATTTTTCTATCTTTAAACCGGAAAATTGAAGTGATATATAGCTTCATCAGAATAGCAACAGTTTTAATTGCATTATTACAAGTTCCCCTTATACCCAAAAAAGAAAAAAACATACATCATTAGAGCAATACAATGCATAACAATAATAGCACATGTTTTTAAAAAGATTGTCTGGTAATCTTCACATGTAAGTTCTGTTATTTACCACCGAAAATAAATATACATCAATGGATCAACACTCACTATTCTGTCTGTTCTCTTCACCCCGCCGTCTGCGGAGCACATTGCAGCTCGCCGACCGTCGCATTCCTCCGTGACTCACAGTAATCTGTTTCCTAAGATCCTCCAACAATCTGAGATTGTACCTCTCCGTGTCCTTGCCCCCCCATACTCTTCTATCTCCTGAATGACGCTCCTTTCTACTCCCAGAACTTTCATCCAACACCTGTGGGGCATGTATAACCTCATTCGGAATTTCGATCGCTACGTCGTTTTCCCCTCGCCGGTGCTCCTCCGCCGGCTTCAGCCTTGAACGGCAAACAGGGCAAGTCACGTGGGAGGCCAACCAGGCGTCGATGCATTGAGGATGAAACACATGGTTACATTTCGGAAGTAATCGGAGCGTATCTTGTTGGTCGAACTCGCTCAAGCACACGGCACACTCCAGCGCGGCGGCTTTCCCAAATTTGAGGCTCTTCACGCGCGGAATACACGAGGATGGGGAAGGTGGTCGAGTAATTTTTGGGTCAATACCTTGAGGACCACTTGAAGAACAATTGTCGGCAGCAGCCAGATCCACGTCGGAGCAGTGGCGGAGGGAGAGGGCAAAGCTGACAATGAACGAAGACGGCGCAAACATGGGCCACAATCATGGGGAGCGAATGATACATCCCAAGTGTGAAGGGGGGCATTTGGAGAAACCACCGGTCCCCAATTGACTGAGCATCGACGGTGGAAGAGAGAGCCAGAGACGAGGATGGGTGAGGGTGTGATCGTCTTCATCATTTGGCTATTGTCGGAAACTCACAGTGAAGAAATATAGATAGATAAGTACAAAGGCTGGTCATTATAAAACATGAGAACTAAGGAGAGGCCAAATAGAATTCAGATAATAATGGTGGTTGGCTTCTGTTAGTATACTGTCCAAAACACGTGATTCAATGTATACTCTGTTTTTTTCAATATCCTATTTGGCCTAACTAACTTCCTAACTAAAAAAACTGTGTATTTTTTCAATCATTAAATTAGATAATTAATTTAAAAATCTAGGTAAGTTAATTATTTATAAAAAAATATGTATTGATTTTTAAAATGATTATTTTTAATCATTTATATAATAAATTTTCTTAATAAGAACTTTTTTTGATATGTGTGATAGAAATATTTAAAAATGATAATTTTTTTATATATATTCAGATTGAAAGGAGTATTATTGAGAAAAAATAGATATTAAAAAATTAGTGTTAAGTTGCGTGGGAGATTAAAAAAATATAAAAAATATAAAATTATAAATTAGGTATTTTATCAAAAATTTGTTGTAATTATTATTTAATTGTTTTCGAAACTCATGCAAATTTTATCATGAATTCTCACTTGCGATTTTACAGTCCGTTTTCTCATTAAAGAATTGCCTCCGGTTTTGTCACCTCCCGCCCACGTTTTTAGACGTGAATTAACAAAATGCCAGTTGTCATAACCAGAGGAAATCCTTACTTTTTCGTGATTTTTTTCTAAGGCTGGTTTGGTACAACTACAAGGTGAGAGGAGGAGGGAGAGAGTAGAAAGATTGTTGGAATATTTTTAAAATAAAGAGATGTGTTTTTTGAAAAGTCATGTCCTTATATAAATTTATTAGATTAATAATTTATATGAGGGGTTATGTCTTCATATAAATTAATAAATTTATTTAAAGGGTTGTGTTCTTCGTATAAATTAATATATTATATGAAGGGTTATATAGGAACTTAAAATATTAAATGAACCTACATACTAAATATATTGTATTTAATAAAATGTCATTGTAGAAGTTAAAACATTAATGAATCTACATACTAAATTCATTGTATTTATTTAATTACGTTGGTTCATAAACCAACATATGATTGTGACTTTTTATTTATAAAGGTTTTATTCTAAAAAGTATCTCTTCAAGACATCATTTCATGCTCTATATAAACCTTCACTATCACTTCCCTTCACAATCACTTCATTTAGAGACAATACAACACAACACTAAGATCAAAGTCATTTGCCTTTGCCTTTAAATGCACGTAGAGATAGAGTCAAATTATTACTTTGTAAAAGCCATTGTTTGTCTTTGCTTGAATTTGGAAGTGCAATTCATATTCAAGGGTCTTCATTGTATCCTGAAAGAAATTCGTCAGGCATCCCAACTTGCATCCTATAGATAGGAATAGGTGGGGGCGAATTAAACCTCAAGGAAAGTGCTGCCCACGCCTTAAAAGACATCGTGCACCACTTTCTTCTTCATCTCTTCTTCATGTACTCTTCAGAGAACCATTCCCGCAAACAGTCTTTAGGCTTAGTCCACAAGTACAAATGGCTTCTTTGAAGGAGTTGACTACAAATTTTGTGAAGTTGGAGAGATTTGAAGGGGGTAACTTTCTGAGATGGCAGAGAAAGATGAATTTCTTCTCACAACATTTGAATGTGGCTATGTTCTCAACACTCCCAAACCTCAAGGAAGGAGGATGAAACTATTGCCGAAATCAGAGAGAGAGACAGAAGTGGGAAGAATGATGACTACATTTGCATTGGACATATCCTCAACAGCCTCTGTGATGCTCTCTTTGATGTTTATCAGATACAACCTCGACCAGGATCTTTGGGACAAACTTGAGGCAAGGTACATGCAAGAGGATGATACAAGTAAGAAATTTCTTGTCACTCGTTTCAATAGTTATAAGATGGTTGATGGAAAGTCTATCATGGAGCAAATTGCATGAAATTGAACATATTTTGAATAATTTCAATCAACATAAAATACATATGGACAAGTCCATTATTGTCTCCTCAATCATAGACAAACTTCCTCCTTCATGGAAAGACTTCAAAAGATTCTCAAACATAAAAAAGAAGATATCT